AGTAGAAAAACAGACTTTATATACTCAAATTTTGCAAATTTCCCGGTTTCAAATTCCAATTTACCCCGAAGTAAAGAGTTACGTAGAATGTAGAATGAGTAAGAGGGGGGGTTAATCACTGCGACCTTAAAGATATATTGTGCCCCCCTTCCTTGAGTCATTACACAGTCCCCATCATCATACCCCTGTTGTAGAGGCGACAGGGTATTTCCCATCTTCCTCTGAGAACAAGTCTTCCTCCGAGGGTACACACCATTCTACGGTTGGAGTTTGGCCCTCCGTGCCGCCCTTCACAGTCGATGAGCTTGCCTCCGGCTGAGGAACACGTGAGGTGGAGGCTGGAAGATCTGTCTCCATTTTCTCCACCTCTTTAACTTGGTCTTTCCTTAGACCTGATACCGGTGTTATCCCGTATCTATAATAGAGGATATGTCCCTCTTTCTCTATTGCCTCCTTGGATTTAAGGTCAATTCCTATTGTGAGGACCTGACCATGATCCTCCTCCCTCGAGTTGATGACTCGCCAACTCGATGTCCTTACATTGAAGTTCTGACCCTGGATAAGCCTCAGCAGGTAGGTGGTGTACCACTTGCTCCTCGGCAGAAAGACCGTGATGGCCGCCCCTTTAGGGATGTTTTCTCCCTTCACTGCAACCAGTTCCGGTCCTTGCCAATTTTTAAGCTTAGGTGCGATTTCCACCAACCAATTCGCCGATTCTTGAGATACACAATCTATGAGGATCATGCCCACCCGAAAGTGTATCCCCGCAAAACGCAGCTGACCCACATTTTGTAAACCGTTGTGTTGCGATCCGATTGCCACTACTTCGTCCAGAATAGCCTCTTCTAGAGACGTTTGCTGGTCGGTGGTCAGAGCAACCTCTGCTGGTGATACGTCCCTGCTTGCCTCCCGGTGTTGGACGGCTTTCCATCCTGGCTTTTTTCTCTCCCTGCTGGAGAAGAGGTGAGAAGTTCTCGCTCCCTCTCTTGCCCTTTGATGGAGATGAGTCAGGTTGTTTCTTGTTTTCTTTACTCTGCCCTTTACGGAGGAGTGTTTTCGCTTTTGCTTCCTCTGGAGCAGTCGGAGGTATCTCCATGCTTCTGCTCCGCTAATACCTACTCTCAGAGGATCGTCTAGCCCTCCTGGTTGACCTAGGCCGGGTAGACGAAACGGTAGCTTGTGTCGCTTATTGGGTCTAGAGGCTCCCGACCCTTGCTGGAGAGGGTGGTAGCTTATGTGCCACTTGGAGGATGATCCCAAGCAAGTGTCAGCCACCCCTCTTGTTGTTTCCTTTGGATCTGGTCCCTTGGAACTTTCATTTGTAATATTCCCAGAGTCGCGGGGGCTTCCCCACAGCTTCACCGGTGGTGTGTTTAATGCTAGATCTAATAGTGTTCCCACGAGTCGCTAGGGATAGTCGGTCCACCTCTACAGAGCCCCGCATGTAGAAGTATGGGGTAAATACAATGGTGTGCTCACAAGGTTGAGGCCTGTAATGACTAGTCCTCTATCTAGCCACGCATCCCTTTGACCTGGTTCACCTCCCTATGACCTTTGACCTGAGGTTGTCTCCTATTGATTCAGGCGGTTAAGCCAAGACCCCCACACCCTCTACCCGCGAGACATGACCACAGTCAGTAGAGGGTGCCTGGTATAACGGACAGGGTTAGCCCCGTCCGGCATCGTTATATGTCTTGGTGCAATTCCCTGGCCACGACACAAGGGACAAGACGATGAGTGAGATGCTTGTTAGACCAAGCCAAGCTCTAGGGGGGATTCCCCCCAGCACCTGACCAGGAGCTTTCACACCAACGACAAGGTCTTGCATCTCCTAGGGAAAGGCATACATTCTACATTCTACAAAGAGTTACGTGTATTTTTTAGTAAAGGTGGGATATCAAAAACTATATAAATATTCTTATCATTAACTCTAAAAAGATATGGGGTAGATGGATCGGTGGTTTCTGCGCTAAGTTCTTTCAAAGCGGCTTGGTTCGTTAAGCCCTGATCACAAACTGTTGTTATAACATTTAATCCTATTTCTTGTAAATTAGAGAAATTATGTATGGAATTAATATTTTAAGGACATTGTCCAAATAGATGATGCCGTAAAATAATAAGCAATGACTTGTTTCCATTACTGTATTATTCCACGGATCATGAAAGTAAGTGCATGATTGGCCTGCTTAATAGAACGTCTTAAATATCCAAGGTCCTCGTATCCTGAAATTATTTGCCTATGTGGGTCATAATGAAAAATATTAGTATTTTAATAAAGCACGCTTTTAGATGTTTCAAAAAACTTTTAATAAGAGTAACTTTAACTCAACATATATGTTTCGGCTTGTTAGGCCTTTTTCAAGAGTTTTTTAAGAACTAATCGTCTAACTACACTGTAACTATATATATATTTGCTATGGGGGTGGGTTCAGAGAGTTTACAATAGGGGTAATAAAAATGAATTTAGAAATCCTTGTTGGTCGTTAACATTATTTCCTTTTTTACCAGATTTTAATATTTCTAACTGTTCAAGGTAATTTAAGCGTCTACCTTGTTTCTCTCTGTAGTAACTTAACTGAGTTTTCATTAATTTTGTGACTATTTGCTATACAATGAGTTGCTAGACCAGAACTTTGCTGGAGATTATTAATAGACTTTACATGTTCTTTAATCCTTACATCTAAATTTCTACCTATTTGGCCTATGTACACGGCATCACAATCCACCCTATATACACCCGACTTATTTTTGACATTAGTTTTGTCTTTATTATTTAATAAAATTTGACATAAATTTCTTTTATTTACACTAATCGTTTTAAATCCTATTTTATTGAGATTATTTGATATTTTGTTAGTTAAATTAGGAATGTAGTTTAAAAGTCGATAATTGTTATTGTCTTTAGAATTAGCGGAATAAAATTTTTTCATTAATATTTTCTTTTGTTTTTTCTTTAGCATATTATCAATAAGGGAACACTTATATCCTTTGTTGATGGCGATTTGTTTAATAATATTTAACTCTTTTTTAAAATTCTCTGGGCTCAGTGGAAACATTACTAATCTATGAATTAAACTATGAAAGGGTGACATTTTGATTTGCCAGGATTGGTGTGATTGACTATGTATTACAGTGTCTGTGGTAGTGGGTTTTCTGTAAATATCAAATTGTAATCTATTAGACTGTTTTATAATTGTAACATCAAGAAAATTGATGGTATTAATACCTTTTTCAATTGTAAATTGTATTCTCGGGTTAATTGAATTTAATAATGTTAAAAAACTGTTTAAATTTCTCTCGGTGCCTGACCAAATACAAAAATGTCATCTACATATCTTGCCCAATAATTTATTTTGATATTAAACTACTCTTGTTTTAAATAGCTTCTTTTCAAAATCTGCCATAAATATTTCTGCGAATAACGGTGAAATTGGGGAACCCATCGGTAACCCATCTTTCTGTTTAAATATTTCATTGTTATACTGAAAATAGTTTTGTTCTAAACAAGTTTCAATTATTGTTATTAAATCTGATTTTACTATTATATTAAGATTAGATTTATCAATTAGTTCATAAATAATAGAGGACAATTCATGGGTTGGGATAGAAGTGAACAGGCTTTTGACATCGAAAGAAACGAGTGTTGCATTATGTGGAACTTCAATATTTTTCAAATTATCTAGCAACTCAAAAGAATTCTTTATGGCAAATTTTGATTGAAAATTGATCATGGAAGGAAGTGTTTTAGCTAGTATTTGACATAATTTATAAGAGGGAGCATTTATGTACGAGACGACTGATCTAACTGGATTATTGTCTTTATGTAATTTTAGTAAACCATAGAGTAATGGGGGTGAAGGATTCATTATTTTGGCATAGTAATAATGAAAAAGGCTACTGAGTGATATTTCATCAAATAACAATGTGCAATTTTTATCTCCCTCTTTTTTCCATTTTATCTACTTCAAGCTTTAATACTTAATTAGGTATTCTAATATTTTAAAATTAAATCTTGGTTCAAAGGGAAACTTAGATAGAACACGTTTTATTCTTCGAGCAGAAGGCAATTCAAAGTAATTATTTAAATATCTATATAAACGTGAACTACGTTTATAGATGGATAAAGCAAATATTTTATCATCAGTAGTCCATCGCTTACCAGTATGCGATTTTTTTTCGTTAGCGAAAAATTTCTTAGTCGTGAATTTATAAAATTTTTAGTAATAGTATTTAAATTTGATTCAATTATTGCAAATCCCTTGATTTTGTAATTTTTCCAAAAAATCTAAATTCTTTTTTTCTTTATTTAATGTATTTTTTAATTTAGATAAACGGGAACATACATTGCGATGTACTTGGTACATTCGTTGATCTCTGTCAGTCATATTTTGAGATGAAATATCACTCTGTCCCATTATTCCCGGCTGTCGGTTAAATTTGGAAAGAAGAAAATTATAAGAATTAAAATTTGATAAAATTTCTGAGTTACTAGCTGGTATTGGCGAAGATAAAGGCGAAGGTAAAGGCAAAGATATTGGCGAAGGTATTTTATAGGAAGACATATATAGACAAGCGGTAATAAATCTGATTCTTGACTTATTTCATCCAAAGATTCATTTATACTCGGAATACAAGACTGCTGCTGAAGAAATTCTGGGGGTTCAGGAATCACATTTCGATTCAATCGTGTTTTTGTACATTTGATATATTCACTAGAAGGAAAATGGTCTTGGCATACATAGAAATTAGAACAATTAGTATTTGGATCTATATTACAAATAATTTTCCACTGATCACAAATTAATTTATCTTTAATCGGAAATTTCAAGAAATGTTTATTGATATAATTCGGATTAGATATTGAGGAGTAATACTTGTTCTAACAATTGGGAAATTTACATGAATACCTCAATCTACTAATATCCATTATCTATGACTAATATTTAACTTAACAAAAAAGTGCAACTACTAACTACTAAATAAATGGAAATGCTCCACCTGTAAAAAGTTAAAATATTTTAACACACAAAATTCACTAAACATTCTGACAACTTTAAATGTATAATTTCACCTTAAAAGTATTAGCGTGTTATAAAAGTAAATTAGAACAATCCATTCATAATACATAAAAGGACTTAAATTCTGGACGCACGTTCTGCTCAAAATGTGTCATCCATCATCAGCATTAATGATGCTAACATGTTAAGCAAAACGTGCGTCCATTATTCCAGTATTGTGCTAGATTTATGTAATAGTCCTACTATACGAATAAAACATGCTGTTAATTTTTTATTTCCGCCAAATACTGGCAAATACTTCAGTGTACCTACTTCTCCAGCCCTTCCTGATTTTCTCTCTTGAATTCTTATTTCTCTCTTGAAACTAAACAAATTATATCAAGTTAAATAAACTAATAAAAACATTTTATTTCTTTTTTTTATTTACATTTACAGAAGAGTAAATAGCAATTTAATAAAAAGAAGATATTTATGTTTTTTAGAATCTGAATAAACCACCATCACACAAAAAGTATCTATAGCACAAATAGCACATAAAACATGCTGTTAATTTTTTACTTACACCAAATACTGGCAAATAGGTACTTCAGTGTACTGCATTAACTCTTCTCCGGTCCCTCCCGATTTTCTCTCTTGATTCTGATTTTTTTCTTGAAGCTAAAAAAATTACAATATATCAAGTTAAAAAATATACGTAAACTAATTAAAATATTTTTTTTATTTTGTATTTACATAAGAGTAAATGTAGATCACAAGCATTTAATAAATGTTTTAAATATACATAAATCTTTTCAATTGCTCTTGAATAATATTATTTAATAAAAAAGGAAATATCACAAAAGCAAACAAAAGTATTTATAGTCACACAATCACAGTATTTTATTTTATTTTATTTCAAACTACTCCTTACCAACATCAAATAGTTATTAAGTATAGTCTAGAATAGTATGGTATGTGTGATATGATATTTATACTGGTAAATAGTAATGTATAGCTTATTTTAACTCATTCACATAAGTGCATCATAAATACTTTTATCAAATCACTAATTTTATAGGTTAGAAAGTAGTTAAATATTATAAAACATAAACAATCATTTTTACAATCAGTTATAGTGGTACTTACGTGTCAAAATGAAATTACTATCGGAAAAAAATACCCAATAATAGTTTCCCAATACCGTATACCGATGCTGCACCAAGATAGGTTCTTCTTCCCGCGGTTATTTGCAAAAGTTGAATTCTATTAAGACACAAAAATACGTTTACAACCGCCTTGTATTTATGAACAAAGTATTTATTTGAAATTTTAAACTTACCATGTATTGAATAACAGCATTAAAACATCCAAATAGCAATTTATAACTATAAAAACGCCTAACCTAACTGATTTGTTCACTTTGCCAGTTTCCAAGGCAAAATGGCCGCGATATTATGAAGTTCAGCAACGTGAGTTTCAAAGACAGCCTATGCCTGGCAGATGTTGCTTTCTTTGTTGTTTGTCCTGGCACGTTTAAATTGACTGTTGCCTGTTTTCCTATACAAGTGACATCCTCGTGGTTGTACCTATAAGCTCCTAGAACAATAGAATAAAGAACAGTATCTTAAACCACATTCCAGTTGAACAGGCAGGTTTCATTCCTAAACGCAGTTGCTGTAACCAAGTCCTAGTCCTAATCACTTACATCTCACATTGTAGGAAATTTCCAACTTAAGCTTAAAACCTCCATAGCTTTTGTCGATTTAACAGCCGCTTACGACACAGTCTGGAGAGATGGTATGGTTTATAAATTACTTAAAGCACTTCCTTGTCAAACTATCTCGAGTTATCAACAACATGCTAAGTAACCGATATATTCAAGTATTTCTAGGAGAGAGCACAAGTAAACATAAAAACTTAATAGCGGCTTACCCCAAGACTCCGTCTCCCCCTCTCTTATTCAACTTATACATCTCTGACCTACCAGATACGCAATCTAGAAAGTTTTGTTACGCAGACGATATAGCCATAGCAACTGAACATGATTCGTTATACCAAACCGAAAAAACGCTGACAAAGGATCTAGCATCATCGAATGCCTATTTTATAAAATGGAGAGCTCAACCCAGTGCAAATAAAACAGAAGTGGCTACCTTCCATCTTAATAACAAGCTGGCGAATACTGAATTTTTTTTGTGTTTGGTAACACCATTCTGCGTAACAACAAATAACCAAAATATCTGGGGATTACTCTGAGAGTGTACGGTCACTCTCATTTCGAAAACACCTAGAAAATGTTGCTGGTAAAATCAGAACACGAAACAACATTATACAAAAACTTTGTGGTACCTCTTGGGGTGCAAAATAACAACACTTCGGATCTCCGCCCTTGGTCAGGTATTCAGTGTGGCAGACTATTGTGCACCCGTATTGTTGAACCGCCACCACACAAATCTCGTAGACAGACAGCTGAACAACACCATGCGGCTGATTACAGGGACAATCAAATCCACAGTTACTGACCTCCAGCTCTGAGTAACATTCTACCTCCAAATCTACGCAGAAACGTAGTTAGTTCTTCTAACTAATTAGGTCTTCTTAGAGAATTTGATAAAATAATAGCTGCCCCAACACTCCTTGTTCATGAAACACTTCCTGCTTTAGAGGTCAATAGATTGAAGTCGAGAAATCCACCTTTGCGAACAGCTGAACAATTAAAAAGCAGTAACTACAATTCTCGAAAACAGTGGCTTCAGTTATGGAGAGAAATGGCCGATGCGCACCTATACTTCTGGTTCGAAAATAACTATTGCCAGATACCGGGTACCGATCTAAACCGGAAAACATGGCCAACTTTAAATAGAATGGAAGATGTGCGGATTCCGTTTATAAGTAGGGTAAAATACCTTCCCTAGAATGTGATTGCGGATCCCCTCACCAAACCATCCATCACATAACTACAGAGTGCAACCTACCCGCTTATGGTGAAGACTGGAAGGACTTTCTGGAGGCTTCTCCAGCAGCTTTGGAATGGATAGGGCATCTAGATGTTAATATATAGTGTTCGTAAATACGTTTTTTGTGTTGACTTTTTATCAAATACTTGTTTTTTATATTTACATTGTAATGTTTTCATTTACATTGTAGTTTTATATCTATGTTTAAGAATCTGGTTTTCTTCCATGTATGTGAGCCATACGATAAATAAATACATTATATGGCAGACATTGGCAGTCTTCTTCGCAGTCATTGGCAGTCGCTTGGCAGGAAAATTATATTTTGGCAGTACATGTACATTTTTTACCCAAATGTGATACCGCGAATTAACATATTCTAACTAATTAATTAAACTGTTCAGAGTGTTCATAATTAGATATTTAAAACTGTTTAACTGCTCATAACAAAAGTTAGATAACCAGTGACAACATATTAAGAAAAGTAATACTCGCGGATAGCAAAAGAAAACCGCAAACGTTTTTATTTGGAGGCTCGCAATCGAGACATCTTCCCCCTAATCTCAACGTATAACGCCCCTTGTCTCTTGCTGTTTGATTAATCGGCATGACTTTATGTCAACCGTAAATTAAAGGCAACTCAGCTAATTTAATAAATCCCAGTAGAAAATCATGAAGCGTTAAGGATTGCCGAGAATTAAAAGATTTTATAGGATGTTGAGCAGAAATTGTGACAAAACAAAAACATAAATTAAGATTTCTTCTTTTTGACAGAGGTAAATAATGGGTAAATATTAACTTGTTATATTCCGTCGTTCTTTGAAACTTTGATACTTGTTAATGAATATATTTGTTGGCAGCAGCGACTCGTGCGTTCTGGCAGCAGCGGCTCGTGCGTTCTGAAGGTTGATAGACCTTAGGTAGATAGATAACTTTGAAAACTTGTTTATATAATCTTATCATCATCATCATTCTCAGCTTAATCAACCATTTCCGATTATGGTGTAGCCTCCCTCGTATATTTAGATACTCTCTTTGTAGTTAGACCCGTTGTTGTCTGTTATTGGCTATGCGGGCCCAACTTATCCCTGCTAATTTGCTAATATCATGGTCCCAACTCAGGTTTGGTCTTCCTTTAGGTCTCTTAATGCCTCATCGTGGGTATCATGCTGCAATTTTTAAGATTCATTTTTTTTAATCTAATTTTAATTTTATCACACAGTACGGCAACAGTGGAAAGATTTCTTTCCACAATTAATCTAAATAAAACGAAAACTCGAAGTTTATTAAATACAGACACGCTTTGTGGAATGCTCCATACCAAAAGTTTTTTTTAAAAAACGCCAATCAGGTGTGCCACAATTTTCTCATCGAAAAAGAACTGTTAAAAAACACCAAAAAATGGAAAAATGTAGAACGCGACATTGATGATTAAAAAAAAAATTCTAGGGTTTCTATACCGCTGGTTTTTACTTTAAGAATAGTACGTATTTATTTTTTTTGTTATTTTTTAAAGCTTTGATGAGTTCTCTATTGATGCTGTTATTTTTATATTGCTTTATTAAAATAAAACTTTTTTAATAAGTCTTTTTTTATTAAGCTTATTAATATTCGTACTATTACTATTTTCAAAATACATTTAATCGACAACTGACAATTATATATTGACATTTCTTGTAAACTTCACTTCTCTGTTTATATTTAAGCACGAAATTTAACACGTCAGATCATTTTAATGGTATTTATACCATGATTTCCTCACAATTACCTGTACCTTTAAAAGTAATAAGAATACCATTATTTCCAATTTTCATTTATTGGCTAGAAATGATAAGAAAAGAAGAACATCAAAATTCAAAAACGCTTAATGTATTTATTTCATGTCATAAACTGGACTGGCGATCGCGGCGCGGCTAACTTCACAAGCCTATGGCTATTGGCCTTCGCTTGTTACTCCGACTTCTGTTCCCTTCTGATTTGTTATGTTTTTGATGTGAATTATACGATTTTTTTATAAAAGTAAAAAGTACCAATATTTGTTTCAAAAATACCATTAAATTTATTAGTTTATACCATCGTTACTAAAAATCTGGCAAAACTGGTCGTTGGTCTTTTTACTCAGCTTTTATCTAAGTTGGCCTAGATCTACGGATTTCTAAGAATATTTCAGAGAATAAACACGGAATTTTAGCTCCGAGGAGGGGGCAGCCCTATCCTTATAGCACAGGATCAGGCTGCAGGATTATTACGCTCTTCACGCAGTTAATCACAATCTCATTTTTACGAATGTTTATGAATAGGGGAACACTTTTAACAGGGTGCCAATCAAAAAGTTGCCGCAAATAGGGATTGCCACGGTTCAAAATCGTTCCTGATACTTTATACGGGCCGGTTAACAGTGAAACGCGCATCTGTAGCTCCAATAATAAAAAAAACTTAGGAATTTGGTATAAGTGCATACCTCAAGTATGTATTTGGATGTATTTGAGGAAAATATTTTAATTTCTACAGGGTGACTTAAAAAAGTCGTATGATTTTTTAAAAGGTTGATGGTCGCTAAATCGACCACTTTAATTTAACCAACTAATCAATCGCCTGGAAGTGTATTATCCCCAGTTTGTTTGCTATGCTTATTTCTATGCGCGCCTTGACCATTTAATCAACTATATCTATACGTTGGCCGAGTTGGCGCGAAAAGTTAACGTAAACGGTTGAATATTCGGCCAGTGAACATTAGTGACACTGAGTTCGCTGTGTACCATATAGGTAATAATTGTCATCAAAGCATTTTCTATGCAAATTTCGTGTGATAAAAATTTAAAAATATAGAAACAAATGTGTCTGTGATGTTTATTTCATTTTATTTAATACACCAAATTTACGGCTCGGGCGATATTTTCCAAAAGCGTTAATTTTCCTGTATATTTTCGATCATTTCTCATAAGATACGAGTTTTCCAAGAAAAATTGATTTACTTGTAAGGGGCATATTTTTGAATAGACAGCTAACATAGATAATCAAAATGAACTTACTTGTTTCCTTACAGTTTACACATTATATACATTAGATCATTTACATATTATCTATTTGCTTTAACAGTCTCTGATTGCAAAATCGACGACCATACCCCACTCCCTTATTTGTTAACTTTTTGAAAAATGATATTAAGAAGATATGCTCCCTTTGTGCTAGTTTATATATTTTTGAAGTCAATTTGATCAAACTAGAAAATAATTATTACTGCCCTATAGAGGGTTAATGAAACACCCGTACATTATTAGATTTTTGGCTTTCTTTCGGATCACTTCACATAGTTCTAAGATAATATTAAATATTATTATGTTTTGATAGTTTCAGGAATATTAATAAATAAAAAAAATATATTGTATTTCCTTCAGCTTTTTTAAAAAATATATTAAATGTCTTAAAATCAAAAATATACTAGGTATTTACTATAGTTAGTATACTTACTTTACTTACTTTTCTATAAATATCGTAATCCTAAACCACACAGGGTGTTCAAAATTCTATGCCAAACATTCTATATTATAAAATAGTTTTTCTTCTTTTTTCAAACGGAACCGCTAAAAATGTTAAAATGCTAAAGCATTTAAAAATCCAAGAAAGTTATTTTTTTTAATTCTCAATCTAACAAAGAAATAATACACAAGGTGTTTCTTCAGCATCTAATTAATCTGCGAAAATGTAGTACAACACAAGAATGTGGTAGTAAAAAATGTCTATACCTATGTGGCGGATTCATCTCTCCAAAAAAATCTTTATGGGTATTTCGCCACTGCACTGCAAGAAAAATCTACAAAATAAAATAGTTATTTTTTGTAAACACTTCTGCGTCAAACCTAAACAGACGCTGTTTGTCAGAAGTTATGTTGACAGTTATAAAAATTTGCCTAACAAAGAAAAAAATGCTTAACGTTTCGGAAAGTTTATCTCTTTCCGTCGTCAGAAGGAAAAAAATACAAAGAATAAAGAAAAAACTATTTAAGATATTTAAATTGAACTATTCGAGAACACTTTACTTTTTAAAACAGATACCTCTACAAGAAACCGTCGACGTTAACCGTTGACCGTTGACCGTTTTTTGTTGTTTTATTTTGACGATATTGTTAAATGTAATAGTGAATTTTCAAAGATCGATTAAATGCTGAAGTGTGGGAAAAGAATTAGAGAATAATTAAACCAGCAACAAGAAACTATTACAAAAGTTTTAGCCACATTATTCACCTTAAGTAAACGTATAAACGAATTCCTCGGAAAGACCAGTATAAATAAATAACTTGAATTGTTTTTTGGTGGACACTGGAACACCCTTTGCTGAAAGTTCTTAACAATCAAAGCTATTATTCGAAATAGCTGGAATAACTTCTACAGTTATATTAAACCTTCCCTTTTGACCCAATAATTTAGATCTGTCTCGCCCAATGCGTTTTTCCCATAACCATAAATTCCATTGGCGGCCTACGGACGAAATATTCGAATTTTGATTCGGAAAAAATATTTTCATTGCTATTCGGAATCTCTTTATAGCCGGCAAATCGTAAACTAGACAAACGGTTATTATTCCATAAAAGACCATAAAAATGCATTTATTCTCATAATGTGGTTAGTCGCTCCCAAATGAGAAAAATTATTGACTTGACAGTCGATATAGTAGACACGTTATGTTTTTTTTCTATACCAGCACGAGTAAATAATGAATGATTTCTGTCAATTTAACTTAAAATTTCATTTCAGTAGGATCGTAGAAGAATGTTTACATTTAAGAGACAACATGTACTGGGACAAGAACGGTGATCAGAGTATCTAAGAAATTATTCACTTTAAATATATGCAATAATAGTATCTCTGGCCTAAGGCCAGTACAGTTTTGTATTAGGTCAATACAGACCACTCTGTACAACTGTACCAATAAAACGTAGGCCAGCGTAGTAAAAAAGTATTACTAAATTAGGGAAGTAAAAATTCAAAATAAAACATTTCTAGTTTAATTATACTGGAATATTATACCACGAGTTATTCATAACCAAATGGTGATTTTTGATTATTTTTGAGCAGTGCAGATTCAACTACGCCTCTGCTCATATACATGCCAGCAGTCAGAGCGCCAATCCTGATGATTTTTTTAAAGGACCTATAAATGAAGCTCAGAATCCAACTTGTTAATCAGATAACCAGGCAAATATACAGGGTGGTCCGAACTGTATTACGGAAACTTCAGCAGCATATTCTGCAAATAAAAATAAGTTAACTAGTTCGTATAAATGTATCTCCTAAAATACTTAGTTTCGGAGATACAGGGTGTAGAAGTTGCATATTTGTTTCGATTTTTTCCAAATAATTTTTGAAGTAATGTCAATATTTAGATGAAAATTGGTGTCTGGGAATTTTTTGACATGGGAAATTTGATTTTGATGTCAATATGACTTCTATTTGTAGGATTGTAGAGGTACTTAGGAGTACTATCTAATAATTGTAACTCCACATATATATGATTTAACTGTTTTAAAGAGTCCCTACTTTTCGTCCGTGTCCGTACCTGTATAAAAACTACTGGGTAAAAAATATACATTTCCGTAATTTTATACGTAAAAAATGTCTCTTGGTAAAAATTGCCACGAGGAACCGTTCTTAAGATACTTAGAATGGAAATAGTCAATACATGTCATTATTGATAAAAAATAAACATGTTGAGAGTAGATAGTTACTTGACTAAAATGATAAATTGGGGAACTTCTTATTTTTTTAATTATTCATAAATTTTTGTTCGAAAAATGATAATAAAACAGTTTCTGTTGAACTTTTGGCACAAA